CAGTGGGGGGGGGGGTACCTGTGGCAGGCAGGTGGGCTCCACCTACCCCCGTGCACAAATCAGGTACTAAGAGAAGCACAGCCTGCCTGTTTCTTTTGCCAATGATTGGTTAAGTTGGGGCATGTGATGCTGTCTTGATCCATGTGACAGAACCCAGGGGGCTGAAGGCTGGGTCTGAGAAAGGCATTTGAGCTGTGCTGAGGATTTGGGACATAAATCCCATGAGCCTGGTTTAGTCTGCCACTAGAAAATCAGATCTCTGCACAGACTCCTGGCTAAAGAAACGTTTGAGATATTAAGGCGAGAACTCATTTCTAGCTGCCACGAGGTAGGCAGGGATTCCATTGTCTTCAAATCAGAAGATGTGGTAAAGGCATCACATGGCATCACCTGAGGAGCACCTACTGCCTCCAGTATGGGCTTCCTTCACCACAGGCACCTGTGATGGTGGAATATGGTGGTGGCTGGGATGCAGGTTTTGGTACCAGATGGCTTAGGTTTAACTTTCTGCTTTGCTTCCCCCAAGCTAAGGTACTGTAAACAAATTATTTAGCCTTTGTAGGCCTCTGTTTGCTCATTTGTCAAATGGACTAGTATCAACCACGTGTACCGGGGCCCCCGCCGTTCAAACCAGTCACTTGCTCACTCACAGTGCCGGTTTTGCAGCTAGTGACACAGGGCTCCAGTTCCATGAAGGTAGGTTGTTTAGGAGGCTGAATCCCAACCTAGGAAATGCATCCGCATGCAGCAGTGCCTTTGGAGGGAGACAGTTCTAGGATGCCAGAACATGGCTTATTCTTAAGGAGGCCACATTTATCCTACTCCAGCTGTTTGGTCAGGGAAAACGGTAACCAGCAGCTGGCTGCTGAGCGGAGGAAAGCTCTCCTAGGAAAACACTGTAGGCATCGGAAGGACGGGGAGGCCTGACAGTGGACCAGCCTGGCTCTTCTGCTTGTGTGGTGGCTAACTCTACATATCGACTGTACCGGGCCATGGTGGTAAGGCATTATATCTGAGTATGCCTAGGAGGGCATTCCTGGAAGAGAGGGGCATTTGGATTGGTAGACTGAGCACAGCAGAGGCTCATTTAGGTAAGAGCCTAAATGGTGCCAAAAGGCAGGAAGCCGAATCTCTCTGTGCTGACCACTGGAGCCAGGATCTCCTTGTGCTGCCCTTGGCGCTCTCGGGTCATGGACCAGAGTCAGCACTGCCCTCTCGACTTATAGGCCTTCCTCGGCCTCTAGCTGGCTGGTGGCAGCGTGAGACTTGTCAGCCTCTGTAACACATGGACCAGATCCTTAAATCAATCCCATTCCATATCTGTTGTCCCCCTGGTCCTGTTTTTCTAGAGAACTCTAATATGCCCTGGTGACTATAACTAGGAAGTAGATTCTACCATTGTTAACGAGGAGACAGAAACAGTGACAGTGGTGTGCAGAGCCGCCACACACTGGTGCCCGGCACAGATGTTCCTCACGTGGCGAGGAACTGCAGATGTGGTTAGGGTTAGCAGGGGTTGTGAGAGGGGAAGAATCATTAATAGTGTGTCTGGAGTGCCCCAATCTACCTATGGACTCTAAAATCAGAGTTTCCCTAGCTGCAGAGGGCCAGGGGGAGACGCAGCCATGAACAACAAATTGGTGATATTCTTCAGTGACATTTTTCTAAACTACTAAAAATATGCCATAAAAAGGTTAGTTTGGACAGGTGAAAGGGATGGCCAAAAGCTTTATCACACATTGGCTTTAAGACAGAGGAAGAGGTCATGAGCTAAGGAATGTGGGAGACCGAGAAAGGCAAGGAAACTATCCTCACCCAGGGCCTCCAGAAGGGGATATTACCCTACCTGCTGAGGCCATTTGAGCTCCAGCTTCCCATGGCTGTAATAAAATACTTGAAAAAATGAACTTAAAGGGAAGAAAGGCTTCACAGGTTTGGGTCCACAGTCACTTGGCCCTGCTACTTTGGCCTTGCAATGGTCTGGCACACCACTGCAAAAGTGTGTGGTACAGGAGGCTTGTTCATGTCACGGCATCTGGGAAACACACAGAAAAGGGGTCAGGGTCTTAGTATCTCCCTGAAGGCCACATCCCCAAGGACCTACCTTCTTCCCACTAGGCTCCACCCCTTAAAGAGGTTGCTGAACAAGTCTTTAACCTACTGACCTTTGAGAAATATTCAAGACCCAAAGTATGGCACCCAGCAAGTCCTGCTCAGGTTATGTCCTAACCTCCGGAACCGTAAGACAACAGATGTGTTGTCTGTAGTAATTTTTTACAGCAGCAACAGCGACAAATACTAACCAACAGCCCAACAGCCATGTCATTGGCATGGTCCTTGGACTCCAGCTTGTGGGAAAAACAGTGCATGTTTCTTTGGACTCCAAAGACCTGAACTTGGCACTAAGAAGGTGGGCTCCAAAGTCAGGGCAGAAGCTGGATATCCTCTCTTGTTAAAGATTCCACTGTGAACATCTACAAAATTGCTTCAAGCTGAACATCTATAAAATTCCTTTAAGCAGGCCTATCATAGCCATATGCTCTCCAGGATGGGCAGAATGTTAGATGGAGTTGATCTGCAGTTACAACCTGTTACACACCAAAGCTCTAAACACGGAAATCACACTCAGGGCCGAGTGACCCGACACCAAGCCACACACAACTGCTGTAGGGGACAAAACAACCGTGTGCTCACTTTGGGCACACGGCTGCAGACTATGAAGGCAGGTGACCAAAGACAGGCCTCCCCCCCCCCCCAAACAAAAGCAGCTGGATTTGTGGGCAGAGAGAGTCTGCAAGGCTTCCCCAGGCTGAGTAAGACACATCCTCCTCATCACTGGGGCTGCCATCCCTGTTTCCTGGTCTGATGCTCTGGGTGGTGAGACTTGGCCTTTCTCAGGATGAGGTCCCTCTCCAGCCAGATGTTTTCTAGGATCAGCCTTCTTGAAGAGTGGCCAAGCCTTTTGAAATCACATGGAGCAGGAAAACTTTTCCCATGTCCTGCTATCTGTTTTGCCTCATTTGTCAGATACAAGGGAAATGGCCACACTGAGGAGGATATAAATAGCAACCCAGATGGACGAATGCGTGTGTTGACAGGCCCGCGGCCAACCTTCTGAAGTGTCCTAGGCAAATAAATCTATTCATGGAATTTTTTTTTTCATGATCTAGAAAATACTCACTGAAGCAGGTGAATTAAGTTAAAATGAATTCATTTAAAGAGCCCAGAAGACTCCAGGGCTCTGAGGGGAATATACTAAGTCATTTCATTCATGAGACCAGACGTAATACTATTAAAGGAAGAAGGGAAGATGAAGGCCTGGGGGAGGTCAGGTTTCAAGTTTCTCCCCAAGGCTTTCTTCCCCACTTATCATCAAGCTGGAAAATACTGGAACAGATTGTTCACAAGAAGGGCCACAGGCTGGATGCTGTGGTATTCATTCCGGGAACTGACCTCCAAGTCTGAGGGTGAGTAACCGGCAGCTAGACCAATTAATCAAATGACCGGTGTAACCACTATTTCATAGGCTCAGGCATCATGAGCACAGAAATCTGCACTTGGCCCTTAAGGAGCTCAGACTGAAGTGTACACAGCCCAAGAGCAAAGTCCTTCTCACCCAGCAGAGGGAAGGGGGCTGGGAGCCCAGGGCTCTGTGCTTAGGGCCACGAATAGCAACCCATGCTAATCATTCATTTAATTCAGCTAACCCATGAGCCTTCTCCCTGCCATTGATGCTGTGTCTTGAATGTATCTCCCCGAAGTTCACGTGCTAGAAACTTAATGGTCAAAGTTCATGCGTTAGCAGGTTTGGAGGTGTTATTTTTGGAGGCAACTGGGATTGAGTCATGAGGGTCAGGCTCCCTGTGGTGGCATTGGTGGCTTCAAAAGAGTTAGGGACCAGGGCTAGCATGCTTACTCTGTCTCCTCGTGTCCTCTGCCAAGTCACAATGTGGCAAGAATACCTTACCAGACAGCAGTGCTGGGCTCCTGGAGGGCCCAGACTTCAGAACTGAGAACTAAATAAACCTCCATTCTTTATAAAAGTACCCAGTCTGTGGTACTGTGTGGTGGCAACAGAGACTACCCAAGACGACTGTATGGGGATCTGGGCCCAGGTTACCCTACCTGTAAAGTGCATGTGCCCACTCACAGAATGCCCATGGATGGTGCTTCATTCATGTAGAGAGTCAAGTCCACAGGACAGAACCTGTTTGATGAGCCTCAAAGATCAGTAAATATGGAGATCATTCCCAAGTGCAGAGTGTAAAGGCCATCTGTGAAATGCTCACTCTGCTTGTGCACGAGCCAGCAGGGATACGCACACATATACAGCCCAAGGCACTCGGTACAAAACAAGATGGCACAGGGCAATCAGATGTTGAGTAACCAAGACCTGGTATCTCCTGGCACAGCTTTTCCTGTCCCTTCAGACCGAGAGGGAAGTGGTAGCCCCTGAGCTGACTCAGTGTTTGATAAGTCTTATCAGTGACCATTACCCTAAGAAGCTGTGCAGGCCCTCAGGAGAAGGCCAGGCACTTGAGAGGAAAGAGCAATAAAGATTTTAGGGTGGCCCTCCTCTTCTGTGGCCTCACTAGTCCATGACTGGTGGCTTCCAGGTGATGCTTAGTGACACTGGCCTGCTCTGCTAGCCACATTTTTAACTGCCTGTCTCTTCAATCTTGTTATAACTTTTAAGAACACTGTGTGTAGTTTCCAGGGTCCAGGCAGTCCACTTCCCATCTTACGCACGTTTGTACAGCTTGGCAGCATCCAGGTGCTGGAAGGTGACCCACGGGTGCTGGAAGGTGATCCACAGCCTGCAGCCACAGCAAGACAGCTGCGGATGGGAAGGTCAGAGGTGCCACCTGTAAAGCAGCTGCAGTGGGGACTGAGAAGGGACAAGAGCATGCAGGGAGATCGCTTTAAGCAAACTCAAGGCAAGTTTGGTGCTTTGAAAAAGATGCTGATAAATGGCACTGGGTGAAAGAATCAAACTGAGATAGAAACAAAATATATTTATTAGAAATGTTACATAGTGGCACACCTCACACTTAGGAGCCCTGTCCGCCTCTGGCAGTACGTCACATCTGGGCAGTGCTTGGCACTGTCTAGGGTGCTCTTGAGGGAAAGGAGGCCACACATGGATCGAGTGCATTCAACTACTGTGGTTAAAGTCAGTGAGTTACTCAGGGTGTTCCAGAGTTGGTCAGAGGACCCAGACGTCCAGGGGCTTCAGCAGACGCTGGAGACACTTCTCTCCCATTGCCAGGGGGTGCTCTCAGATGTCAGTGGCAGGACATCTCACACTGGAATACTTAGGAACTGGTGGATTTGGTGAGTGGGTCTGTCCCTAAGGGTCTCAGCTCTCCATTTCCATTGGCCAGTGACAAGTTGCAGGAGAGAGACAGGTCAGAGACCAGCATGAGGCTGGTGCTCGTGGGAGATAGGAAGAGAATATGGCCAATATTCATTATTGCTAGATGGCTGATTTCTTTGGGACAGCCCCCCACCCTCTCAGGGGCTCTTCTACCCAGACTGGTTCCAAATTCTCAGGCTCAACTGATTCTCCTGTCTCCATCTCCAGGATACCTGAAGCCACGGGCGGTGGCCCTATGCTAGGCAGGACATGGGTTTCTGTCTTCTAGCCATGGCTTGTATTCTGGATGGTCTACAAAAGCTGAGGAACAACTGGATGAAGAATGAGAACTAAGGAAAGCGTGGCTGCTGAAGTGAGAAGGGACTAGGAAGAGGGACATTCCTTGGGACACTGTCACTGTGGGCAATGGCCTCAGCACTGCCACCCGCCAACAGTTCAGACACACTGAGTGCAGAGAACCACAGACTTCTCAACACGTCTGAGCTTCCCAGGGCCTTGCATTTTGCAGTTCTCTTTGTGCTTAGCTGAGGGCAGATGGAAAGAAACGTGGCTATGGAGGCCTCTGATGGCCTCTGAAGGGTGGTTTGCAGAGAAGCAAAGAAAACAGCAAGAACAAAGCACCAAAGCTGGGCATGGAATCCAATGTCAGCACCCAGGAGGCAAAAGCAGCAAGACCAGGGGTTCAAGGCCAGCCCGGGCTACATGGGATCCTGTTTCACAGAACTCAAAACAAAGCAAAACAAATAAACGACAACAAAACCAAACATGAAACAAAAACAAGAAAAAGTAAGGTGCCCCGCTCCCCGCAATGCTTCTGTTCTTAGCTGGTCAGTTTTCCACATTCATTTCTGTTCCCTGGAGCTCTTCCCAGACCCTGCACCTCCACCCGCAGTAGTACGGCACCTTGGCAGAGGGCTGGAACTCTGTCAGGCACGCATCCCTCTGCCTCGCCCCCAACCGCCAGCAACAGCTGCTTCTATTGAGAGGGCATGGTGTCCCTCTTCTGTGCCCCCTGGCAAGAACGGCAGCAGTCAGGGGAAACCCCAAAGAGAACACAGACAAGAGCAGATGTGGCTGGCCGGTCCTCAGCGCCCTGGGGCCCCGAAGTGCCTCTACTTACAGACACTGCGAGGTGTCTGGAGACCAGCATGGGGACGGCTCTGCTGAGAGCTCTAGGTTCTTAGACAGCACCCCGAGAACAGCCAGGGACAGACTAAACTCCCGTGCCTTAACTGTGGCCTTTCCTACACAACTCCAGAGATCACCCCTGAAGAAACAACACCCAGCTGTGTGGGCAGCACTCCTCCTGACCCCACCCCGCCATGATGGCTGGGCAAAGCAGACCCATGGAGGCAGTGGGGAGGGGAGGGGGGCACATCATCAATTATGTCAACACATGGGGATGGGAGGCAGCCCAAGCAGCAGCCTTGGGAGGGACCCATTTATCAGCAAGGAGGTTCTGAGGCCTCAGTTTCCACTTGGAGATGAAGGGACCAGCAGCTCCTGTGGGGAGAATGAGGGGCCAGGAATAGTGTCCTACCCCTCTGCAGGGCTGCCCACCAGTTCTGGAGAACTGTGAGCATGTGCAGACTCCATCTCTGCTCCGTTCCAGTTATTCTAACTCACCTGATCTGAGGGTCAGGCATGCAGTTCCTAGAGGAGTCCCAGGGGATCTGTAGGGAGCCACAGCCAAGCACTTCAGATAGAGCCTGAAGGTGGAGTCTGTGGTCCCATGAGGCTACATTAGCTTGAGAATCAAGCTGCTATACCCAGCTGCCACCCATCAGAGGGAAGGGCTGGAGGGAGGGACAGAACCCAGGTCCTCCAAGGATAAGGGCTGGGCCAGCAGACTGGCTCAGACAAGCAGGCAGATTCACTGTAACTATGGCGGTCATTCTCAGGGGTTGCTGTGAGCATATGGTCCTTTGTCCAAGGGCCAGTTCAGGGCTATTTGGCACTTAGAACAGGAATGGGTGTTTGTGCATACCCAACTGTCTGAGAGAGCGGCACCCTCATTTGCTGTGAAGTGCACATTTGTTTGTCTAAGAAAATAGCAAAAAGTGTCTAGAGCAGTGGTCTCAGCCTGTGGGTTGGGACCCCTTCGGGGGTCTCATATCAGATATTCTGCATGCCAGATATTTACATTATGATTCATAACGGTAGCAAAATTACAGTTATGAAGTAGCAATGACATAATTTTATGGTTGGGGGTCTCCACAACATGAGGAACTCCTAGCATTAGGAAGGTTGGGAACCACTGTCGAGAGCCACCTGGCTTGAGCACTCACGGAGAGGGCCGTGCGCTGCTTCTTAGGGAACCAGCGGGGTTTTGGGGGACAGAGCCACCATCTCCACTCCTAACAGCTTCTTTCATTAGGCAAATGTAAAAGGCCCAACAAGTACCAAGGGTCAAGGCTGTTTGGAGCCAAAACGTGGTTTATATTTCTTGTCCACCCAGGATCCCAAGGGGCGCACCTCTCAGCCTGCGGAACTGTGCAAATGTAAAGGGAGCTCGCCATCACAGGCCGCTTCGCACGCGAGACTTGTGTTGAGTTCTCTGTGTTCGGCAGATGTGTGTATGAACGGGACTGTCAGTCAATAGCAGGGCAGAAGGTGCCGTGGACAATGGTCACAGTTCTCATCAGCCAGGACACCAGCGCTGCACTCAGGCTGTGTGGTTAACGAGCATGCCAGCTGGTCTCCCATGGGCCCTCGGCAAGGTCCCTAAGTGTCCCTTTGCACTTGTGAGGAATCTAATAGGGACAGTGAGATCTATATAAAGTGTTATTTAGCCCTCGGTTATACAGAACCTAGTGAGCATACTATTTCCCTAATCAGTGTGTTTCCAGGTTGCTAAGAAGCAAAAGCTGCTTTTGATTTTGTGTTTTGTAGGGTTGTTCTTTTATTTGGGGGGTTAGCAGCTGATAAGGACAAAGTTTTGAATAAAGCAAAGCTAGAGCGGTTTTAGTGAAGGAGGGAGGAGGAGGAGGAAGGAGAAGGAGAAGGAGAAGGAGAAGGAGAAGGAGAAGGAGAAGGAGAAGGAGAAGGAGAAGAGACACGGTGATTGACGGGCTGTTTGTCAGTGTGTAGGCCACATGTGGGCAGCGAATGGGACTGGCAACACTCGGGAATCTCACAGAGGAGGGCCTGGGTTTGAGACCCAGTGTGTGAGAAGCCAGGCCTGCCTCTCTAGAAACTTCCCATTGGGAACAAGGATTCCTGAGCATGGGCTCCAGACACGTTTGCATCTGAGATGGAGCCAGCTCTGCTTCTCCACGGAGTGCTGGTCCACTTGGCTTAAGCCTTTCTTGGAAATCCGGATGGCTAGGTGGTGGGCACAGCAGGTGTGGTGGACAGTGAGCAGGTGCTTCCGGGGCTAACTTCAGGCCAAGAGGCCGCGGCTGTTGTTGGGTCTTCTGTTTATGTCTCAAAGTACTTGTAGATCTGGGCCACATACTGCATCACGCTCTGCCAGTCAGGCCGGTCCGTGTACAGCATCTCACTGAGCTCCTGCAGGGGAAAGGCAACAGTACAAGAGCGACACCTCAGACCCCTTTTTACCAAGTGACTCTGATCCAGGTCAGGACTGGTATTGACTGGAAACCTTCCGCTGACAGGAACCAAAGTGTAGGCAAACACAGACCACGCTGAAGTGCCGAGCTAGGCTTTTCGGCAGCTTTACCTGGGAGATATGCCTCTTTCAAAGACCAAAGACATGGCTCCCCATTGCTTTCATCTTTAAATACCATCACAGCGTTTTACAATCCCCTGAACTTCCACGTTAGAAAATGGTTTCTAGTTTTCTAATGCACATATGAACGTAAGTCCAGTTTCCTAGGCTCCCACCACAGTGCACATGTTTTCACACACCTGCGTCTTTCCAATGGACATGCTTGTGTATGCTTTCTCACGCACACCGCGCTGTCTGTAGTTTCCTTCGCTTCCACTGCATTGCACTTTGCACTGGGTAGTCTTATCTCTTTCTGTCAAATCAGTTCCTTGAGAGCTAGTCATGGGGTTACCAGAGATGCCTTGAGCCAATTCAAACCATGTGCTTTACTAGTAATCACCACTTAGTGGCTGGGCCTTTCTTTCTTTCTCTCTCTCCTTCCTTCCTTCCTTCCTTCCTTCCTTCCTTCCTTCCTTCCTTCCTTCCTTCCTTCCTTCCTTCCTCTCTAGTTGAGTGAAATTTTTTTTGGCTCTTTATTTAGTTTTATTGATTTACTAGTTTTGGGGGCTAATTTTGCAAGGAAGCTTGCTTAACAAGCACACGTAAGGCAAGGCCAAACGGCGAGAAGACAGGTGAGAGGACTAGGTGCCTGCAGGATACTCACCACGCTCTTTAGAACACGGTTAATTATTAACGCTGGGGTCGGATGTGGAGTCTTTTGTGGCTGTAACAGAACAACAGCCAGGAGCAGAGGTGCAGAGGGAAAGGCGGCTGAGGAGCGCACATCCGCTCCTGGGTAGCCGCCAACTGGCCGCCAAAGGAACACTTCTCCCCTGCTCTGTTCCCTGGTCACGCTAAAATGACCAGCATATCATAACCCACCAGCAAGGGCACTTAGGACACAAGAGGGACCTTCCACACAGTTCTGCCCAGAAAAGTTTTTGAAGGAAAAAAAATGAAGTCTTAGAGCAGGGGTTGCTGACGACAGCACAGACTGTGATAAAGACTGACTGAGCACACAGGGGGGCAGAGGCAGGTGGATCTCTGAGTTCGAAGCCAGCCTGGTCTGCAGAGTGAGTTCCAGGACAGCCAGAGATAGGGAAAAAGGTCTGACAGTGTTGATCTGTTGAGGCAGATGAGCTCTGAGAAGGCATGCCTATGAACTCAGGAGAGACAGAAAACGTTCCTTTCTGTAGAAGAGGCGGTCTGTAGTTTCAGATGATTTGAAAGTGCAGTTACTAGTCACAGTTTAACTCAGACCATTTCACACTAGCAGTTACTGAATCAAAAAATATTTTGTGACATACTTAACATCACATCTGAAAATTTTTGGAGAAATGTTTTGCACGTTTCAGGAGGGAGGGAGGTTGTCTTAGTAATAATTTCACCACACATGAGATTTGCTTAAATTAGCAGATAACAGCCCAAACCCAGGTCCATATGATTCCACCAAACACATAGAGGAGATCTAATACCAGTTATTCAGTTTCCAAAAATGGAAGATGAGAGAATATTTCACAACTCATCCTGTGAAGCCAGATTAGCCTACAATCAGAGGTAGTCAAAGACACTTCGAGAAAACTGTAAGTCAGTTTCTCAGATAAGCAGACACAAAACTGCTAGCAGATTGGAAAAATATTAGTAAACTGAATTCATTAATCTATAAAGTATCATGATCAAAGGAGGCTCATCCAAGGAATGTGAAGCTGGCCCAATGCTTTTAAATCAATATTAACAGATTGAGAAAAAATATGTTCAACAAACTTCAGAATCTATTCATGATAAAAAAAATTCTCAAAAAGCAAAACAGAGAAGTTAACTTATTTTACATAATAAGGGGTATGTACTGCCCCCCAAACCCAACAGCTGGCACCATACTTAATTGTATAAGATAATGCTTTTCCCCTCAAATCAAGACTGAGACAAAGATGGACTCTCTTACTTGTCCTGTTTAATACAGTAGTTGAAACTTTAGCTAATAAGGCATGAAAAAGAAATAAAAAGGCATACAGATTACCAAGGAAACAATAAAACTGTTTTGCAGATGTTGTAGAGGCTGAAAAGCAAGCCTGCACACAAGGCCAGCAAGGTCCCACTACATAGTCCCACAGACGCCAGTCACTTTCCTGTCTGCCAGAAACAAGAAGCAGGGATTTTTAACCAGAAAAAAATAGTACTCACACCCCCTTCTAAGTTTGTTTAGTTTTAATTTTCTGTGTGTGAGTGTTTTCTCTGCATATATGGGTATGTACCACATGTATGCCTGGTACCCAAGATGAGGGCCTTGGATCCTCTAGAACTGGAGTTCCAGGCCATTGTGAGCTGCCTTGTGAGTGCTAGGAACCAAACCTGAGTCCTCTGGAAGAGCAGCCAGTGCTCTTCATCACTGAGCCAGCTCTCCACCTCCCACCCCTACTTTTAAAGCCTAACTCTAACATAATATGTACACATTCTATCTGCAGAAAACTATAAATCATGACAGAAAGCAAATATCTAAATGAGTAGACATGTATTATATATTTGAGTTAAAACACAATATTGTTAAAACTAATTATTCCAAGTTTGATATATAGATATAATATAATCCTAATCAAAATCCCAGAAAATCTTTTTTTTTTTTTTTTTTTTTTTGGTTTTTCAAAACAGGGTTTTTCCTCTGTGTAGCCCTTGCTGCATTGGATCTCACTTTATAGACCAGGCTGGCCTCAAACTCACAGAGATCCTCCTGAGTGCTGGGATTAAAGGTGTGCACCACCACTGCTCAGCAATCTCAGAAATCCTTAATTTTTGGTATTGACAAATGACTCTAAAATTTATTAATGCAAAAAAGCAGCAAAAACAGTCTAGAAGAAGAACGAAGGGTCAAGATTTCAGCTCTGGGAAGGGAGAGGTAAGGATGCTCTCCTCAGTACCTGGTACTGCACTGGACGGCCCTACCTAAAACACACAGCAAACAAGCAAGTAACGCATACTTCACAGCTCACGCAAAAGCAAATCAGAGACCACAACGAAAGCTTTTGAAAACTCTAGAAAAAATACAAGAGCAAATCTGAGTTTGTAACCTTGGGTTGGGTGATGAGCTTTGAACTATATCAAAACATGGACCTTGAAAGAAAATGAATTATTAAACTGGGTCAAAATTAAAACCTTTGCTGAGGAAGATACTGTTAAGAGAATGAAAAGATAACTCTCAGACTGGGAGAAAATATCTGAAGATCAAGTATGATAAGGACTTGTTTCCAGCCTCTGTGTGTGTGTGTGTGTGTGTGTGTGTGTGTGTGTGTGTGTGTGTGTGTCTATGTGTGTGTGTATGCGTGTGTATCTTTTACAAACCAACAATAAGAAAACAGATTTAGAGAGGAGCAAAGACACCATACCAAGGAAGACAAGCGGCCAACAAAGAACTGTGAGCAAATCAGAGCTCAGCATAGTTTTCCAGCAGAGAAACTCACTGAAACAACAGTGAGGGGTGTGGCCATGCACTCTGATCTCACTTTCTGGAGAGTTAGGCAGGAGCATCAGGAGTCAAGGCCAGCCTTGAGGATGCAGTGAAGCTCTGTCTCAAAGACCCACTCCCACAACAAAACTAATCAAAACAAGACACAACAAGGAGACAGGTGCTACAAGAAGAGCTAAAGCCAAACAATGACAATGACATTACTACAGGCCCAAGTGTCAAAACACTCTTACCTTAAAGGCACTCTAATAAAATGGTCATACCATTTATGAATAACTGCTGTGATTCTACCAGAAAATATTCATTTACCCAGTGTGTGTGTGTGTGTGTGTGTGTGTGTTACATGTGCATGTCATGGCACACCTGTGGAGGTCAGAGAACAACTTGCAGGAGTCAGTTCTTCCCTTACATCATGTGGATCGCAGTGACTGAGCTCAGATGATCAGGCTTGGTGGCAAGAACCTTTACCTACCGAGCCATCTTGCTGGCCCACAAGGCAGTTCCTGACAAGAGGAAACTGGGGGTGTTTTTTGTTTTTCTTTTAAATTTCATTTTATGGTGTTCTGCCTGCATTTATGCCTGTCCTCCATGAGTGTGGATGCAGGTGTTTTTTGAGCAGGAGATAAAAAGGAGCTCCAGGTAGCATTAAATCTAGAAGATATCTTCTTCCCCTACTTAATGCTAAGACAGGCCTTTTTCACGGGGGTTGGGGGGGCGCACTTTTGGCTAAAGGCAGTGGTTAATCCTAGTCACTGAAAGTGAGGGGAATTCAGTGACATTCCTGTACCTGTGTGCTGGACAGCTGTAGATGCACAGAATAAGAACCCTTTGCAACTGGTGGTCAGAAGCAAAGAGATGCTTCTCCCACGTGGTTTGGTGTGACTAACCTAGGGATGGATTACTATGGGTTAAGCACCCAATTAATGGGATGCAGCAGACAGAACACATACAATGGAACACAAAAATTCCCAGCCAGAATGAAAATGAACTTAACTTTGAAAATACTGGATAAGAATTTCTTTAGTACTCTGATGCTGGAGAGATGGCTCAGTCGTCACGAGGACTGGTTGCTCTTCCAGAGGTCCTGGGTGATGTTCCCAGCACCCAAATTGCCTGTGACTCCAGTTTCAGGGGATTTGATGCCATCTTCTGGCCTCTATGGGCATCAGGTACATATGTGGCTACTGCACGCACGCACGCAAGCACGCACACAGAGGCAAAATACTTCTACACATAAAATAAAAATAAATGAATCGAACAAACAAACCAAAAGCCAGAAATGTACTATAGTTTCCTATTTTATTCATTTCCTAGCACATACTTGCTACTAACAGTGTACGACCTGGCACTGTTCTAAGGGCCTTTAGTAATAAAAAGAGAAGGGATTTGTGCATCCAGGCTCACAGCAGCATTTGCTGAGAAGAGCTAAACTATGATGGTACCCTAATATTCAGTAACGAATGACTGGATGAACAGAATGTGGTATAACCACATCATTTACCTTAAAAAGGAAGGGAATTCTAACAGATGAACTTTGAGGACCTTATACTATATCACATAAGCTACACATGAGACGGATATGGTGGAGCAAGTACATTTACATGGGGTGTCTGAACTAGGTGTGTCTGTCTGAGAACACTGGCTGCCAGGCTGAGGGTGGAGGTGGCGAGTTAATGTTTAACAGACTCAGAGTTTCGATTTTGCAAGTTAAGAATTCTACGTGGGGAGGGCGGCAATGATTGCACCACATTGTGAAGGTACTTCACCCCACTTAAAATGATTCAGACGGTAAAACTTATAAAAAGTAACTGACCTCACTTACCGGACTCTCAAATGTTCAGAAAGACAGTGGGTAAGGCTTTTGAGAGTTCAGTCCTGTGCAGTGACTATCCTGTACAGGCCCTGAGTAAGCAAGCATGTCATGGACAAAATGACTAAGGCCACGGTGAACCCTCACCAAGCCACAGACAGTTAGTCCTGGAGGACATGACACAGAGGCTCTGAAGCAGTAACAATGATGCCATGGACGTTTGCCCAATTCTTTCTGTATGGATTGTGACTGGTGGCTCAGCAGGAATGTGTTCTAAAGTTCGGGGTATACTACAGAGCTTCACTTGTATATGCTTATATAGATATGGATACACAGAAACTTAAGGCTTGTTTTTATTATTTTGAACTTTGTGTACCTTGTGTGTTTGAATGTGAGTTTCTGCACAAGAGTGCGGTGACCGCAGAGGCCATTAAAGGGGTGTCAGACTCCCTGGAACTGAAGTTACAGACAGTTGTGAGCTGCCCATCACAGGTGCTGAGAACCGAACTCTGGTCCTCAGCAAGAGTAGTACGCAGCCTTCTCTCCAGCTGGATTTTATTTCTTAAATGTTTAGTATTCTATTTTTTGAGCAAGGTTTGGAGAAAGCGGTTATATGTGATATGTGGAGGATACTGGTATTTCTACAAAACTGTCCATTCTGTTTCAAATTTGCATCGGCATGCTATCGCCGTTCAGAGCACGCCTTTCTCCACAGCTCTTCCACTTCATTCTCCAACTCCTCCGTCCTTGGAAGGCTATGGACTTACACCTCACTGCTACTTCAGCTTGTATTTTCTTGACGGTTTTTTCTTCCTGACTGTATGTGGATTAAAACAACCAAAAACAACTTTGGCCAAGCATAGTGGTGGTGCATGCCTCTAAACACAGCGTTTGGGAGGCCGGGGCAGGAGGATCAGAAGTTCAAGGTCATTCTCAACTATATAGTGATATCAAAGCCAGCCTTGTGTTTTACACACACACCACGTATGTAATACATTGGGTTACATGTGGCATTTTTTAACTGCACCCAACCAGAAGTAACAACAGTAATTAATAACCTTTGGAAAGTTCTATTGAAAGATTATGTAAGAAGTTTCAAGAATGGGAAAGCCAATTAACAGTGGCTTAAATCAGATTTTCGTCGTTGTAAATAAGAAACCCAAAAGCTGACTCCAGGTTGGTTATCACTCAGTACTGTCTCTTTTGTCCACTCCATAACATTCATTCATTCATTCATTCATTCATTTATTTATTTATTTATTTATTATTTTGGAGGCAGGGTTTCATGTGACCTACAGTGGCCTCCAACTTACTGTGTTCATTGGCTTTTCCATTCTAGAGACTGACTACACATTAACCAGTAAAGGTTCTCATGGTTCTTCCAGCCTTTGCTGTCTATTCAGTCTGTGGGGTGGCTTCCTGATGTTCGCTTTCTGTCCACCATCTTTCTCGCTTGCTGTATCTAACCAGTTTGGCAACCCATCCATTGTGTTTTCTTATTCCAAAATTTCATTTCTAATAGCTTTGTAACCGTCCTGGTGGCACAAAAACATTCTAAAAAGATACTTGTGCTGGTCCCTTTGGATATTGGCCTCTTTAAACATTGGTCCCCATGGAATTGTAATTTCTCCAGGAATCTCTTGCTGGGACAAGAGAAGGATCTGGCTTGTCTCAGTGAACTATTCATACAGTTCTGTCAACTTGTGAGACCACCTGGCCGGGGAGACCTGAGACGAGACAATGATGGGTACCGATGGGCAGGACTGCTTAATTACGCATCTCTTGCCCTGTTTAAGTCTAAGCCTCTTGTCAGGGCCTTAAAGATGGACTGGGAGTGTTTGTGTAGGGGTCGCTGCGCCTCTACGTTCCTAGTATGGCCACACTGTATAACTCCCCCCACCTCCTTTCACCATTAGTTATCTGTTTAATTGGCTTCCCAAGGATAGTCAAGCTTAGCTTGTTAGGGCTAGGAGGGCCGAGGCTCTGGTTCTGACAACTTCAGTAACAGGCTTGAGTCCTTCTGAATCTCCCTCCCTTTATATTTATAGCACTGTGTCCCTCCCTGGTTTCTGTTCCTCTTTTTGTCTTTTTTGTGCTCTCTCGCTCTCTCTCTCTCTCTCTCTCTCTCTCTCTCTCTCTCTCTCTCTC